ATTCAAGTTCCTAAATATTATAATGCCCAAATACTAGGCCCCTACAAAATAAAAAGGAAAGAACTGCAATAATTTTAAACTAACTCTAGTTGCTGAAAAAAATGGCGACTACTCAGAAAATAGAGTAACACTCAAGGTGAAACACGTTTTATGATGCTAAAATCTTATCTAACTCCAAACAAGCAAGATGGTGACTAACTGCTACAATAGGAGCTGAATGTAAGTGTGAAAACCATCTAAGGAACTTCTAAATGAGCAGGGACAATTAGCAGTGTGCATGATGTGTGTTCCTGTTAACAGCTGAAAGGGTGCCTTTCAGTTAATATTGGTCTCCTGTGAAACGAGCAGTGCCCAAGAGTACGCATGGGTTTTCCAAAGCTGTCATAAAAATACTGACAAATAAAAGGAGAGAATTAACTCTGTGGGATACAGAGTCTGGAGACAGGAGTTGTCCATAAAAGGTCGTAACAGAATTTATGCTGCACATCTGTAAAATGAGCTCTTCCATGACGAAAAGTCCTGGCCTTATGTTACTAGGTAAACATATCTTTTACTCATGTCAATGACTTTTAAAGGTTCTCTGGATTTGGCATGATGGCTGACATCTCTTTAAACTCCATGTAAAGAAAGGAATCTTCAGGCTTGAATTTAAAATCAGCTAATAATTATCTAAACATGTTCATTACTTTTTTAATCCTGAGTATTTCCGTCTTGTATTTGTAAGGTCTGGCAGACACATACAGGTATTATAATCCCAAAAGCCAGAAAATATTAGCTAATTACCAACATAACTGCCATTACATCTTCTCTTTCTTAGAAGACACCCAAATTTCAGAATACAATATCTGGGAGAAATGATTTTGCCCTTGTTTTTGAATTCCCAGCTAATATTTCTCAGTATTGTGTTGGCTAAGATTTATCTCCTCTGCTGACACACACAGGAATTTACTACTTCCCTGTTGAATCTCCCATCAGTTACAAGTACCAACTTTCCATCAGACTCTGAAAGCTTCTCCTTATGATGGTGATTAAGTAACTTTGTACTCTATGCTTCTTTCAACCTTCTGGGCATGTTTTCAGAAGGCCCTTAACTTACAGGCAGTGCACATCTAAAGTGCATCAAGATGAACAGGAGGAATAAAATAATTAACAAGTACCCAAAACTATTCAAGAGAACTTCAAAAACTCCTACAGATAAAGGACAACAGTCAATTTTGAAACCTTTACAGTGGTACCACAGATTTGTATAATAAATGCTATTCTACTTAAAAGAAAAGCTACCAATTTCAAAGTCAAGCTGTACATTGAAGCTGGAAAGCAGCTTTCAATAGACCAAATTCTGTCAACATTTGTTCACATCAAATGTCTATTTCTTTAGCCAGAACTCACTCAAAAGTCTAATTTGAGTAATGTATTACATTTACAAGTACTAAAGTAACCTCAAAATTATGCAAAACAGCAGGTACTTCTGAATAGAATTTAAAAAGAAAGCAACAGTCATAAAATATTTCTTAGACAAAAAAAAAAAGTCAGTCTGATTCACCGTATTTTAAGGGATAGGTTCAGTCAATTTTTCTCAATTTATATCTAGATTTAAAAAAAAAAAACACTTTTAGGAAGTATTGTGCACATATACTTCAAATACAGAAAAGCTGTTTCCATTAATTTTATGCAATTATAATATCCAGTAATATGTGACAAAAAAAA